ATGCTTCAAGTGTTCTTTAGCTGAGCAAAGGCAACATCTCTCCCCAAAATGCTATCTCCTTTTTTTGCCTTCCCGAGCATCTTACAAAAGCATTCTGTGTTCCCAGTCTCTTTATCCATGCCTAATTGCTCTTCAATTGTTTCTTCACATTTCCTAATTGATCTCATTATTAAATCAAATGCTCTCTTTTAGTTCTTATCCAAGTTGACCTCTCTATGGCATTTGAAACACAGACCACTTTCTTCTTTTAAATTATTATTCTCTTTTGAAAAATTTCAACACTTTTCTAATACCCAAACTCTTTGTCATTCCTGTTTTCTTTGATGGATACTCCTCTGCCTCTACCAATTGTTCACTTGTTCCTGCCCTAGCAGGTTTCTCTTTTTCATTTATATACCTTCTCTTCCTGAGAGTTTCCCATCCACACCCTCTCCCCTATATTACACCTTTATTGGACACTGCTCCCAAGTGTGCATCTCCTCTCCAGGCCTTTTTTTTCTCACAACAGACCTATTTCTATTTAGTGGACAACCTAGCATTGTTTTGCACTCAATATAACTGAAACTGAGCTTAATGTCCTCTTCTCATGCATTTTGCTGTGTTTCCAAGTTGAATAGTGATGGCTGTCACCTGTCACCTGGATCCCCACAGCCCTCTGTGCTGTTGTGTTGTATTCACCTTTGCATCCTCCACATCATCCTCCAGCTTTTGATTTGAACAAATTAGTGAATAACCAACAAAATTCAATGCAGTGCCCAGTGCAGAGAAGGTACTCAATAAATCTTTGTGAAATGAAGGAGTAAATGAAAACCCTTTGGGAGACTAGATCTATGAGCAATAAAGTCTGCTCTTGATTTTTCTATAGTTATATAGGATTTAAATTGCCTACTTTATCATTGGTAAGAAAGATTTTGATACCATTCTTCAATATGGGCTTGTAAGGAGAAAGAAAAAGAAAAATACTTTCTGGTGCACACAGGAGGACAAATATCAGACTTTTTTTTGGAGGGGGGGTGTACTGGGGATTTAACTCAGAGGCACTCAACCACTGAGCCACATCCCCAACCCTATTTTGTATTTTATTTAGAGACAGGGTCTCACTCTTTCTAAGACTGGCTTTGAACTCACGATCCTCCTGCCTCAGCTCCCCCAGCCACTGGGATTACAGGTGTACACCACTGCACCCAGCTATTATCAGACTTTTTAATAAAAAACAAGTATTTTCCAAACCAGCATGAATATAAAGTGCTAAAAAAATGAGCTGTGACTCTTGCCTGGAGAAGGCAGAGTGAAATTTTGAATCCTATTCTTTACCCCTCCTTATATCCAAGCCCTTGGCAATATAACTTAGGAGTTCCTTCCACTAAAGGCAAGTGAAAATTCCCACTGTTGGCTTTTGAGCTCTGCCATGTAACTTGACTGCTCTTCCCAGTAGATGTTAGCAGATGTGAATCACAACACTTGACAAGTTTTTGGTAGTTGGGCTCACTTTTCTCACTGAAATTACCAGGACACACACACCTTGGCTAGCCTCACTGGACCATAGGGAGAATGAAACTATGTGGAGCAGAGCTGCCTCTACTTCCTCCCTCCCCCACAGCATCAGGGGGAAGTACAGCCACCCCAGCAAACCCAGCCAGGATCAGCTTTTGGAAATCTACCAATCTATGAATGCATAAATCCAATAAATGCTCACTCTTATAACCAACATTTGTGTTTGGTTTGATACAACAGTATCTCACTGACACAAACAACAATATACTGCCTTTACTCCCTTTTTCTTCCTCCTCTTGGCCTTATGCATCCCTTCTCCTCCTCTAAGAAGGATGCTACTGTGAAATAGTGGAGTCAGAAAATCCTAATTTTAAACTCATTCCATGAATGATTAGGTTTGAATAAATTCTCTTCTTTAAGCTTCAGTTTAAAGAAGAGAACTTATTCAAACCTATGAAAAAACAATTATTCCCTAAAGACCTAAAAAGAGCATGCTACAGGGACACTGCTACATCGATGTTCATAGCAGCACAATTCACAATAGCAAGACTGTGGAACCAACCTAGATGCCCTTCAATAGACGAATGGATAAAAAAAATGTGGCATTTATACACAATGGAGTATTACTCTGCATTAAAAAATGACAAAATCATAGAATTTGCAGGGAAATGGATGGCATTAGAGCAGATTATGCTAAGTGAAGCTAGCCAATCCCTAAAAAACAAATGCCAAATGTCTTCTTTGATATAAGAAGAGTAACTAAGAACAGAGTAGGGACAAAGAGCATGAGAAGAAGATTAACATTAAACTGGGATGAGAGGTGGGAGGGAAAGGGAGAGAGAAGGGAAATTGCATGGAAATGGAAGGAGACCCTCAGAGTTATACAAAATTACATACAAGAGGAAGTGAGGGGAAAGGGGAAAATAATACAAGGGGGAGAAATGAATGACAGTAGAGGGGGTAGAGAGAGAAGAGGGGAGGGGAGGGGAGGGGAGGGGGGATAGTAGAGGATAGGAAAGGCAGCAGAATACAACAGACACTAGTATGGCAATATGTAAATCAATGGATGTGTAACTGATGTGATTCTGCAATCTGTATATGGGGTAAAAATGGGAGTTCATAACCCACTTGAATCAAAGTGTGAAATATGATATATCAAGAACTATATAATGTTTTGAACAACCAACAATAAAAAATAAAAAAAAATTATAACACATATTTTGAAGACAAAGCAAGGTACATTGAGCATTCAGTGTACAAATCATTAAGCTATATTCAAGAAATGAGTGGTAACTGGCTAAAGGGGTTCCCATACCAAGAAAAAGCAGGTGTTTCCTTGTTCTTTCTGTACTCTTACCATAATAAATTCCATTCCTTTCCCCCAGATTTGCTCTTCTTTGGTCCAGGTAGTTGTTCTCACAGTGTGATCTTCTCTCTGCCCCTAGTGGAGAGATCTTTTTCCTTTTGTAGCACATTCAATCTCCAAGAACGATTATTTTAAAATGTGCTTGTATGTTTACTCTTTCTGTGTGTGTATGCTTATGATATTAACTTGGTCTTAAATTGTAGTATCTGATCCACTTAATGTGATTATTTGTATATTTGGGTTTTTAGCTATCATCTGTTTGTTATCTATATAACAAACCTGTTTTATATTCCCTTTATCTTCATTTGCATTATTACTATTATTTTTAATTTGGGAGATTGAACTCAGGAACACTTTACTATTGAGCTACATCCCCAAATTCTTTTTGAAAATTTGAGACAGAGTGTAGTTGCCCAAGCTGGCCTTGACTTGATTCTCCTGACTCAGCCTCCTGAATTGCAGGGATTAAAGGTGTGTACCACTTAGCCTGGCCATTTGCATTAATGTTTGAGTACTTCATTATTTTCCTTCTTTAACATACCAGTTAAATATTTTCCTTTTACTATTATTCTAGTACTTTAGAGATAACTCATATCCTTTATTTCTGTGCACAGAGTACTTCACCACTTTTTCCATAGTGCCTGAGTCTTAGATTTTAACTCCTTCTACTCTGTCCATCTTGTTCTTGAGGTCTTGTATTTTCACAAGATGTGATTTTTGCTTCAAACAATCAATATTGATATCTAGGTCAACATATCTACCCTTTTGTTCTATTACATCATCATGGAGCCCCATACCTTTCATTTGGATTACTGTCCTTCCAGGAACCTGGCCAATCAAAATACTATTTAAATTTTTCTTCTAATAAATATTATCTCACTCCCTCGTGCATCAGGGTTATCTAGAGGTTGCTGCCCTGATCAGAGAACTTTGGAACAAATGGCCTCTACCAACTTAAGGTTCACTGGGGCATTTTATTGGCCCCTATTCTGCTGCTTAGTCGAAACATGTGTCTTTTATTAGATCTATCACTTGAGTTAGGCTTTGGAAAAGGCAGCACATCTCCCCCCCCCCCCCCCCCCCCCCCCCCCCGTGGGCTTTGGTTTGAATACTCTTGATGCTAATCCCATCTGCAAAATTCTCAGTAAAGTTCATCTGAATTCACCAGACTCTACTTTAAAACAAAAACATTTTATTTTCATCTCTTAACATTTCTCTTTGTACTCTGTGGATGAGGTTGAATGATTTTTGGTTACTCTTAAAATTACTTTATAATGTACGATTTCCTTAGAACTCTTAATTTTGTACCTTTATTAGTACATCATTTCCTCCATTCCGATTGACCCAGATATTCTGTTGACTAATTTATTGGGATACTTTATAGTTTCTTCCAAATAATATAACCACTGCCTTAAAAAGGCTTATTGGGTGTGGTATTCAAAGATATTAGGATTCCACCATTAACCAAGTTCTAGGGGGTTCTGGCCTCACCTCCCCATGGTCAGCTGACTGCTTTTCCTTCCTTCTAGGTTCCTTCACTGACCCTGCTGCTGCAAACTGGTGTTTTGTGTTCCAATTTGGGACACAGCACACTCTTCCAGGAACCACAGAAAATACAGTAATTTACAAAAGGGATCAGAGGTTCAGTAATAGAAGTATTCATGTTCCAACAAATTGGACCAATTTCTCAAATTTTTCCTTATGCATACTCTTGTAAAATCTCTTGACTTTCATTTATTTAATTGCACAGATAAAACAGAAGAAAAGTCAAATTTTTTTCTGTCACCTTCAATATCTCATCAACTTCCATAAGTGGTAGGAGAAATTACCTTCTGAGGCTGACACTTCTCCCAAGACAAACTGTGCTCAGACCTTAGATGAGTGGATGAGAAATGCCTGCATATTAGATTCTCTTCTGCAAACTTCAGACTCTAATCTTATCCTGTTTATGCTCCATCTTAATCTTTTGTTTATGTTCCACCTGTAGCTCTGCTAACTATTCAAAGCCTTCACTATCAACATGGAAAACTATGTTGTACTCCCAGATCTATTTATAAGTAGGAATGACCTCCAGAAGCCTCAGGACCCCAAAGCTCTGGAAAGGGAGTAGGCAAAAGAGAAGGTGCCAGAAACCAGGAAATTTGACTGCCAGTGTTATTTTATTTTATTTCATTTGTGCGTATTTCTAGGACAACTCTAGAACTGGTATTAAAACCAAACCAGTCCAATATTATTAATGGCTAAAAAATTTCTTTGTTGGGCTGTTAAGGGCAGGTCCACTCAACCCACTGTATTCCTCTGGTCTATACCAGCATACAATGGATTGTGATAGAAGCAGAAGAAATCAGGCACAGAAGACTGTCTCCCCTCCATGCTTTAATCTCATACCCTGCGCACCATTTATGGAGGATGTCTCTCCAGTCTTTGACACTCCCAGGATCCGAGCAGGTGAGGTTCATAATTATTCGGCTCATCTCCATGGAGTTTTGAATAGATAGAGACCCTTGGACCACCAGGAGATATTACTATTTAGTTCTTAATTACATGAAAATAAAATCACATAAGGAAAAGCAAACACAGAAACATGAAAGCCATTTACTCCTAGTTAACTCCTCAGGGTCCCGGGTGCTGGGTTTCATAATTTCCCCTGACATTAGGAACTGAGGCAGGGATGATTGGACTGTGTGTCAGGAAAATATTACTGATGGTCTTGGCCTGCAGCAACATTTTTTTCCTATTTTTCCATAGTTTAATCTTAGATCCTCTCCAATTTTCTTCATGTAAATGAAGTGACCCAGTCAATCATGGTTCTGTTATTGTTATAAGTGCCTTTGTAAATGGATACTGTTCAAAACCCCTCACAACCCAAGCAAAGGAGAGAGGGAAAGGGTGAGCTTCTACATATGTGGGAACGTAAATGATTTCATTAAGATTTAATTATGCTTTACTGAATCCCTCAGCACTACAGTGCTACATCTCACTTGCAGAAGTGCCAGGCATACAACCAAGAGATTAGACTGGTTGAAGAGTAGGAAGGCCAGAGGCATGAGCATTTAGACAGGGAACAAAAACAAAACAAATAACAGTAACAACAAAAAAGACAAGGAAGAGACTTCTGATGAGACCTTCCTTTCTAATTTCTGGCACCAGTATCATTTTGACAATGGGGAAAGGAGCAGCTTGCCAAGATCCAAATGGTGAAGAAGTGAGTCAGACAGTGAAGGATCTGTAGTTATCCTGTGTGTGGCAAAGCTACCAGGACAAAAATTGGTCTTGAGTTCAGTGCTGTGTGCTTTAAGATTTGAGCCCAGTAAGGACAGTACCCTTTAGGCTGGTCCCTTACCAAACTGAAGGGGTTGTCCTTGGCTATTTTAAACTTGAGGCTGGTAAGTAGTCTCGAGGATATGTAACAGTCTGTTTTCCAGAAAATGTAATAACCTCTTAAATCTTCTAACTCTCCTACTTCAAACCCTTGAGATAGAGGCAGGAGGAGCCTTCCAGTGGAAAAGCCTCAATTCAGGCTGTACTTTGGATAAAATATCTCCTCAAGATACAGAAGATTAAGTGGTTCTTCCTGGAACTTTTATTTGGTGGTGGGAAGAGGCTATTTATGGTCTGGGTAGGTTAGGAAGAGTTTAGAAAAGGTCCCTTCTCCCATCTCATCCTGGGTGAGGACTAAGTACAGATCTCACACGGGCACCAAGCTAGGAGGTCTTTTCTGAGTGGGTCCTCTGATGCCTGATTAAGTGATATCCTCTGCTGAAGCTTTTCCCACAGGTAGGGCAGGTAAATGGTTTCTCTCCTGTGTGTGTTCGCTGATGCCTGACGAGGTGGTCCCTCCGACTGAAGCTTTTCCCACATTCGTTGCACCGACAGGGCCTCACTGAGGCATGTCCCCTCAGGTGCTTGGCAAATGCTGCACTATGGTTGAAGCAGCGCCCACACTCACTGCAGTGGTAGAGCTCCTCAGCTGCATGTGTCTTCCGGTGTGCTAGATACCGCCTGTGATCACCGAAGTCCTCTCCACACACCCCACACAAGTAGGGTTTGCCCCCTAGGTGGATTCTTTGGTGTGTTGTTAGCACAGATTTCTGGCTAAAGCTTTTGCCACAAATAGTACAGAAGAATGGCTTTTCTCCTGTATGTGTCCTCTGATGCCTGACAAGGTCTGAAGTCCAGCGGAAATGCTTTCCACAGTCATCACATCTGTAGGGTTTCTCCACGGGTGGAGTTCTCTCAGCCTGGATCAGAGATGCAGTCCCATCTACATTTTTTCGGTTTAGGGGATATTTGTAAGAAGTGTTCATCTTGTGAACCTTTTGGTGCCTGGCAAGATGTGAGCTCCGTGTGTAACTTTTTCCACATTCCATACATTTATATGGTTTCTCTCCTGTGTGAGTTCTCAGGTGCCTAATAAGGTGGGAGTTACATGTGAAGTTTTTCCCACATACAGAACAGTGATGGTGCCTCCCTAACAGGGAGTGGACAGGAACGGTTTCCCGAGGATTCACAAAACTATTAGCTTGAGAAATATTTGTACCAAATCTTCTTTCATTAAGTCTACCTGGATAATCTTCAAAGACTATTTCCCAATCTGGTGTCTGATGAATTTCTGGATCTCCCAAAACAGACCTGTGCATATCCTCTAAACTCCGATCTTCTTGCTCAATACCCTCTTCCTCATCTTCACTCCTATCTCCTGTAGAAGGGATGAGAAGAAAAAGGAGACATTATAACTCTAACAATGCTTTCTACACAATGAGGGGTATTTTTAAAAAGGGCTTTGGGAGGGCAAGACCATATTGAGAGAAACATGTGTTTCATATGTGTAGAGGTTGGGAAAGAAGGAAATAATCACTCCAGTGAATGCCTGTCATGGCCAGGCACTTTCTTATATGTTATAACATCAAGAAGCCTTAGCATAGCCAAGTATTATTATCCTCATTTTATAAATGTGGAGATTGGAATTAAGGGTTTAAGTGAATTGTACAGTAAATGGTATAGCTGCAATTCTAGGAGTTTAGTTGTTTTATTTTTCTTTCACCATTTTGTAACATCTATCCCTCAAACAAATGATGAGAGGGGCGAAGAAGAGGAAAATGACAGAAGAGTCTGGCTTTCAGAGGGAGATGGCAGTAATGACTGACATGTCAAAAGAACCAATGACAGGGCCCTAGAGGAGAGAGAAGCACTGACTAGAGGAACTGCCCACTCAGGGTGGTAAGACCCCTTCTGTCATTCCTCACCTGTGTAGGTAAAACTCAGGATTTCTGGCTCTTCAGGCTCTTGAGGCTCATGGATATCTGGGACCTGAGGCTCTTCTTCTCTAACCTGGGAGATATCATCTAGTCTGGGGATTGGAAATGCTGCTCAAGAAAGGGAGAACAGGACATCACGACTGGTTCAACACTTCCTTGTGTTAAGAGCAGATCTTTTCTGGTTGGTAGGTTGTATAGTGAATACACAGCTCAGTTGGTCAAATCTTTGGTCTTTTTGGAGTACCTCTAACCAAGAATTGCCTATCTCTTGCCTTTCTTGGGCCTTCTGCCTGCAACTCAATAATTACACTGATGTAAAATTTATACCCTTTTCCCATACTCAGGAAAGCACATCATCTCCATCTCTTTTGCTTGTTTCTAAACTCATATGCTTACCACAAATATTTCTATACTAAAGCTATAACACTATAGCTTTATTTTATTGTTAGAGGTTTCCAGCCATTTTTTTTTTAAACATTTTCTCTTTTCCCTTTAACTTGGAAGAATATCATCTTCTTCCACTAAGTAATCCATTTATTTCATTGGTGGGGTAAGCATAAGAAGTTCAGTGCATATAATCTAAGGCCTAGGATCCCCCAAATTTCCAACAGGAAAAAGATCTCTGTACTTAGAATGCTCCAGAAAAACATGAAATTCCTTACACAGAGAGACCACAATTCCACAGTCTTCTTCCAGGACATATTCTCCATAGAATTCTTTCTGTGTTGGATCCAGATCACTCCACTGGTCCTGGGAGAAGCATATAGCCACATCCTTGAAGGTTACCAGGCCCTGAAACAACATGAGAATCCAATCAGAATTCTCACATACCTCTTTCCATAAAATGAGGATAAGGATACTACGGTATTTTGTTCTGGGATGAAAACTGTATGCATAGGCAGGATCCATCTAGGAGATGAAAGAAATTCTAATGGGTCATAAGGCTTCTTCTCAGGAAGCTGTGTCCCCTATTGGTGCCATTTCCCAACTTTTTAGTTTTGGGAACCACTGACCCTACTCCTGCCCCTCAAACCCCACTGCATTCCTTCAGGACTGGCTTATTTTCTTCTGCTGAAGGATATTGTTTAAAACCCAAGCTCTTAAAAGTCATCATTCAATTCCCTATTTGATGTTTAAATGCTACCTTCATTTCTATAAAAATTTACCTTCTCTAGGAAGCTTTCCTTAACCTACCCTATCTAATCTCTTATCAGGTTCACAGTCTGCAGCATAAATAAGACATTTTTCCTCAGCTAGATTACAATCCAAAACCATGGATGAATTCTACTCTTTTTTTCTTTAGTCACATGGTTTCAGGTTCCTAACATGAGAAGCACAGCAGTAGAGACATTCTTACAGAAGACTAGCAAAGTTACTCCTAAAAACAAAAACTAAAACCCTTTAATTTAACAACTTCAAAACTAAACAGGAAAACAAACAATACTATGTAGGAGTGTCACAAGATAATCCCAAAATAGCACCCCCCTTTTTTTAAACCCTTCTAGTCAATGGCAAATAAAGCAGCCTGCAGATACAATGGAGACTATTACAATCTATTTTCTTCCTCCTTCCATATACCTGCAGAATTGAGAACTTAAACTGCCAAGGGAGAGTGTAAGTTTGCATCCTACCTGATTGGTCTAGCATATGACTAACATCCAACAGGTATTGAAACAAGTTCTCTGTTGTGCAGAGGAAGTAGGGCACACCTGTGACAGAGCAGTAAGAAGGGCAACCATCTCTGGGTCTCCAGAATTCCTCTCTGCAGGAAGGTCTGAGTCCTGGTACACTGGAACCTCTATGAGGAAAACAAGGCAGAGATAAGCAACATGTAGGGTACCCCCCAAACTGGCAAAGAGCTGGACATATCCCATCATCTTTGGTTGTCACGTAGCTTTAACTTCCTAGTTATCAAGAAACTGGCCTGAGAGGAGAAAAGGCATTCCAACACTACCTTTAAGACAATTAAGGGGGTATGGTGACACAGGCCTACAATACCAGGGACTCAGGAGGCTGAGGCAGGAGATTTGCAAGTTTGAGGTCAGCCTTAGCAATTCAGTGAGGCTCTAAGAAACTTAGTGAGGCCCTAAACAATTTAATGAGACCCTGTCTCACAATAAAAATTAAAAAGGGCTGGGAATGTAGCTCAGTGGTAAAGCACCCTTGGGTTCAATTCCCACTATTGCAAAACAAAAACAAAAACAACAACAACAAAAATCAGAATGCCAAGAAGGCAAACAAGAATATTGCTATTTAAACCTGGCCCCATTTTGGGGGAATTTTAGCTGGTTCCATCTCCTCTCAACATCCAGGATTTTGTGTTTTTTTTCCCATTACAATCTACCCAGCCTCCTTGATGCAGAAGAAATCCCCCCTCCCTGCATTCTGTCACAATCCTCCCTTCCTGCCAGGTTTCCCACCGCTCTCCTGCAGGGGCTGGAACTCCTCTTCATGGCGCAGGCTCCGCTCTTCTGGCATCCCCAGATCTGGGTTCCGGGTGGCTTCCTCATGGAATTGCTCAGGGCCTGAGGTCTGTGCCGCATCCTGCAGCTCACAAGATGACTCAGGGTCTGTCCCTAAGTGCACTGTCTCCTCTGACAGGACTTCCTGGCCATGAACATGGACAGTCACCTGGGAATAATTCCAACCTCCAGTCACCATGGAGTCAAGGGGAAATTCCTGGTTGTCACCAGGGCTTATTAGAAGCTGCCTGGAGAAAAACTCTCAGAGGGGCCCAGAAGAGGAGGCAAAACTCCAATTCCACTAGGATTTGAGAAGAGCTGAAGGTTACCTCACCAGGACAAGGTGGGGGACACTCAGGTACTGCACCACTTTCTCACTTCCCTCAACCTTTGCTCCCAATACCCAGGGCTCTGATGTTCCCATCCTGCCTACCTTCACCTATCCCAAATGCAGCTGTCCTTGCTGTCTGCCTCCCCAGCTTACCATCCTGGAAATGGGGTCTGAGACTGAGGGTCGAGAACCTTTGAGGAAGTAAAAAAAAAAAAAAAAAATCCTCCTCCCCAGGAAACCCACGATTAACATCCAAAGAAAGAAAACTAAAACTATGACTCCTCAGATAATCCCTAGGCAGATGTTTCAAAACTCAGAAGGTCACACTCATACACACACATACCCCTGCCCCGTGGGGCTCATGGATCCAGGAGCAACCCAAAAGCAGAACTGATTAAATTTAAAGGATAACTTATGGGGGCCCTGTGAGCCCTCCCCGCAAACCCAGCCTTCCAGTAGACAATCCCCCTCCACATCACACAGATCAGGACTCCCCCTCCTCACCCACCGCCTTGGTCTCCTGGGTTGTTTCTGCAAACCCTCCACCAGCGTCACTGCCTCCTCGCCACTTTCTGGCCGCTGGCCCCGCACCCAGCTCTGTAGTTCCCCAGGCAGGACGGTGAGGAATTGCTCTAGCACAAGCAGCTCTAGGATCTGCTCCTTTGTCCTCCTTTCTGGCCTCAGCCACTGATGACAAAGTTCTCGGAGTCTGATGAGAGCTTCTCGAGGGCTTGCAGCTTCTTGGTAACGAAAACATCGGAAGTTCTGGTGAGAGGTTTCCAGCACAGGGTCATCCCTCTGTAAGATAGACTCTGGCCTGCAGATGGAATCATCCTCCAGTTTGACCATCAGAATTCCCTCTTCTTCCCAAAGATCCTGGTCCTCTAGTTCCAAGACTGTAGCCATTTCTGGCTCTGGGATGATCTCACACCATTTAGAGCTCACAGGAAAAATCCCCGTCTCCGCCTGGACACTTCAAGTTTCTCCCAAGGGACCTGGAGTAGAGACATAAAGAACAGCTTAACTGAGATTATGCACTAGGATAACAGTTCTAACTTTAATTGTAATCCTTCTTTAATTGTAATACTTCTTCAAATAATAAATCTCCCTTTCTCCAACCTCCACCTCCACCATCATATGTTGCATTGAGATCTAGTTGGGATAGAAAAATCTATGACTGAAGGCATGGCCCTCCACCCTATTTCCTAGGTGAGGTTCCTTCTCTATAGGGAAACATTACATTTTTGTCATGACTACTACCAATTCTACCTCTTAATTTCTAAATCTGTTTCCTCTACTTCCTTCCTGCGGCTGCTTTAAATATGGCCCTCATCATCTCTTGCACAGACTATAGCCATGTAGTACTAACTCCCTGTAGTACTAAAATGGCTGGAGAAAGGGATCTCATAACCTGTTAATCAAGTGGTACTTCTGGGTGTGGTGGTGCATGCCTGAAATCCCAGCAACTCAGAAGGATGAGGCAGGAGGATTGCCAGTTCAAGGCCAGCCTTAAAAAGATCCTGTCTCAAAATAAAAAATAAAAGAGCTGAAGATGTAGCTCACTGGCAGAACACTTGGGGTTTAATCTCCAGTCTCCAGTACCACACACACACACACACACACACACACACACACACACACACAAACCCAAACCCCAAACAAATTCGGTACTGACCACAGTATATTCATAGCATTTTATATGCACACAGATATTTACATGTGTTAGCATGTGTATTGTGAGAAAAAGACATGTCAACAGGACTGACAGAGATGGTGAAGGCTTTATGGAGGTGCATTCTGGGCTTACACACAATATTAATTTCTGTGACATGGGAATCCTCAGAGATCCAAGGAAGAGATTATATGGACAATACTGAGGAAAGTAATAGTGGTTGGCACACAGGCACTCTTAAAAGACAATGTTTAATTGGATGACCCACAGACTTCCAAACTCAAGTGTTCAACACCAGATTTATTACTTATTCTAAAAAACAACCTTCTTTTTGACTTGGTTGATATCATCACTTGTTAAGGGGACACTCAATTCTATAATTCTTGGATTTAACTTTGAATTATTTCCCATTGCTTACAGTTCATTAAGCCCATTCTACCTCTTAAGACTATAAATTCTTCCTCCTCTTCCTTCCTGCTGGCTGTTTTAATTGGAGCCCCTCATCATTTCTCACCTGGACTCCTACTATAGCTTCCTAACTGGGATCCTTGTAGTAGTCAACTGGGAATAAAGTACAACAGAACTCTCTGCATGCATCATTCTTTTGGACATTGTGATTCAGGTAGTCTAGACAACTGTATCTTTAGAAATGCTACTTGCTGTTCTAATGTGAACTCTGGCTGCAAACAGTGAGGAAGGTGTGTAAGATTAAGTGTGAGAATCCTAAGTCAGACTGCTTAGGTTTGAATCAAGGCTCTTAATGTTTACTAGATATGAGACCACAGTGAGACTATGGGTAGATTTATTCTTATATTGATTTTGATTTCATTATATATAGAATGGAGATAATAATGACAGCAATATAATAGTGTTCCTATGAGGATTAAATCTAAGTGTTTAGAAGAGTGATGGCACCGCAGGGTTAACTACTATTTTTCTAAATTATAGTTCCAAGTACATATCTCAGTATTTAAAAACAGTACCTTCTTTTTTTTTTTTGGTCCTGAAGATTGAACTCAGGACCACTCAACCACTGAGCCACATCCCCAGCCCTATTTTGTATTTTATTTAGAGACAGGGTCTAAATGAGTTGCTTAGGGCCTTGCTAAGTTGCCCAGGTTGGCTTTGAACTCGAGATTCTCCTGTCTCAGCCTCCCTAGCAGGTAAGACTACAGGCGTGTGCCACTGTGCCCAACTAAAACCAGTATCATTTTAATGTTAGTAAAATCAATTCCAAATCCTGGTAATGGCAAGCAAAGCATTTCACATTCAGTTCCAATCTGTTTTCTTTTTGCCATACTGGGGATTGAACATAGGGGCACTCTACCACTGAGCTACATCCCAGTCCTTTTTGTTTTTCATTCGGAGACAGGCTCTTGCTAAGTTGCTGAGAGTGGGCTTGAACTTGCAATTCTCCTGCCTCAGTCTTCCAAGTCCTGGGGTTACAGGCATGCACCACTGTGCTAGGCCCCAATTTATTTTTCAAGCTGCATCTCCTACCCTATTTTCTGTACCGCTCAGCTGTTAATGGATGCACTGCTGATCTCCACCAATAGCCTGTCTTCTCAGGCCTCCCTGTCTTTTGAAGGCCGTTCCTTCTGCATGGAGTGCTCTCCATTCCCTCAATACTGCAAGGTGTGTTGCATTCTTAATAGGTTCTCTCTTCATTCCTATGATTTAGTTTAGGTTCTCATCAATTCTCATTTGGATTACTGCAACTGTCTCCATATATGAGCCACCTGTCTCTAGAGTTGTGACCTTTAAGTTACCATCCATTGTATCACCAAAATAAATTTTCATGGTAAATCTGGTCATGTCTCTCCCCTACGTAAGATCCTTCTTTCCTGTCTTGGAAGTGAACAAACTTCTATGTATTATGTTTCAGGTTGACTTTCATCTTGTTCCATCTGCTCTCTTTGCCAATCCTTACATGTGTGTGCACATGTACCCAGTGTGCATGCAAAATACACAAGTGTCCCACTCTAGCTTTTGGACATATTCCTCCTTCTGACTGTACCTTTGGTTAAATTTCACTTATATTTCAAGATGTAACTCAGACTTTGTATCTTCTTGAGCTATTTTCTTTGATCCCACTTCACCTACCCTTGGTTAGATATTACCTAAGTGCTTCCAGAGTAACCTGAGCACATTTTTACCACAGGGTATGTCATATTACATAGACATTGTTCATTTTTCTTGTGAAACTCCTTCAAGTCACTAATATCAATAAAAATACACAATGAATGTATTTAAAACAAAGAACCTCTACCCTGAGGTTTTTTTCCCTCCCTTCTTTAATAGAAAAAAATAATTTTCTTTCATTTACATCTATATTTTTTCTTTTCTTTCTTTTTCTTACTAGTACTATTAATTCTAACTTCTAAAAAAATGTCTTACATATTCATCTATGTCTTCATCTCCATTGCCATTTCTCTGGTGGAGCCACTACAATACACAAGAATGCATTACCAGGACCTTTTAAAAAAATTATCATATCCTCACCCCCGAATCAGCCCTGGCATACAACAAGCACTTATATTCTGAATGGATGATTTAGAACAAATTTCAGGACTGGTGTTCTTGGTCCTGTCCTCCTCCAGCCCAGAGTCCACAAGCAGTCTGAGGTATCCATTGTTTCTCAATCTTTTTGTGTTGTATGACAACCTCCTGAGTGACCTTTTAGTTATCCAGTGAGCTTTTATAGCTGTCTCACCTGCTGTTGAACTTCAAATTAGTTTATGGCCAATGACCATATTATTCATTTTTATTCTTCATCAAACCTTTTCATTTATGCTTTCACTTTTCTATTATCCTCCATCATTTACAACATATTTCTAGTCTATTTTAGATAGTTCCATAATTCCTAGATCTTCTTGAACTAATTAGGCTCTCTCTCTACATCATGGTGGTTTATAGTTTTTAAATTTTATGCCCATCTTTTGTAAGACTATTTCTTTGGGAATTCTGGGCCTTAAGTTGCAAAAGCAAGCCTTTTTAATGGAACTTCATTTGCTTTTACCTAAATGCTAACATTTCAATGATTTTGGATGTTTCCATGTTTTTGAATCACATTTTTAGGATATGTTTTGGTCCTCCCTGCCCTCAAGTGAATTTTGACCCACCCAAGGTGATGAAAAGCCCATCCCTTGTACTTTCTCTATATAGTAGGCCGATTTTCAGTGAAGGGGTGACTCTTTGAGGTCCCAGGTTGGCAGGCTGCTCAATTCATAATCTCCACATGCTCCACTATTACTTCAAGTCATATCTTTGTTGTAGCACAAGTATGGAACCCCCAACCCTAGAAACCTTATCTTGGTTTGAAATATACTTGGGCCACGATAGAGTCAGCTTTTACTCCTCTAGATTTTACTTCTATTTCTGGAATATATACATTTATTCTTTAGTTTTCGAGATGGAGAAAAGAGGAGACATGGACAGATAGGCACAGGAGTTTTAATAATAGGTACACTACCTGTATTTGCAATATTATGCAAAGATCTGAGTGAACTTTCTCACACACAAAATCTGCCAGTGGACTCATGTTGTCTTTAGGATGACATTTTAAACTCTTTAAAATTTGATACTCAGAGCCTCTTCATGACCTGGTCTCTGACTACCTCTTTTCTCCCATGACTGCCTCTCCCATTGAATGTCATTGCTCAAATTATGGTTCTATGTCCCTCTTTTCTAGTTCCTCACTGGGCTTTTCTGATGTTGCATATTGTCTGAAATACTCTTTGTGTTTCCTTCTCTAACTTAACTTTATTCATCCTTCAGATCTCACAGCTCCCAGAATGTCTTCTCTGGTCCTTTAGATTATGCAGCCATAGGAATATGTGCCCGCCCCCCACAGCACATCATCTGTTGGGAGAAATTGTTCCTCTAGCTATTACTGTTGGATTCACTGGACTGTAAGCTCTGAGGACAGGGATATGCTGTGCTCTGCTGATACTCAGAAGTGGTACTTACTTTGTACCTGATGAATGCAGAGAACACTTATTTTTTCTAAGTTTGTCTCTGGAAGGACAGGTACCATATCATATTAATCCTTATTTGTTGATTTGTCCAGCAAACTATTCTGGACAAATTAACATAAGGAGAGATTTATTGTTTTGCATTGTGAATATAAGAGAACATTCTTAGTGGTTCCCCAAGTGATGGAACTATTTCATCATAAAGAATTTTCAGATCACCCTGAGAATAATTCAAATATAAGTTATACAAACTGGACATGTGAAAAAAATCATTTTCCTTTGAGGATTTGAATCGACTTTAATAAGTATAAAATCAGACATTAAGTAATGCAACTACATATTGATTACTTATCCAGACAAAGCTTTCCAACACCTCTCCCTACCCCTACCCCACCCCACACCATTCCCATCTCTGCACAATGGGGAGAGAAGACAGAATTGATACATAGGGTTTTCTGGCTTAACAAAAGGATCTCCACTAAGATTAAAGTCTCCATTATGATAAAAATGCCAGTCATTGTTCTTATGTAGCACTAAGTACAAGAAATTCCATACTAAGGATGCTACAATGTATGTCCTGATAGAAAGGTTCCTCCTCAAACAGCTTTGCTCTCTAGGAAAAACACAAACCAACAACAACAAAAAACAACAACAACAACCACAATAAAAAACAAAAACAAAAAACAACAACATAAAACCTGCAGAGGTTTTAAAATTTCCTTTGGAAATCACAAATTGAGGTTTCTGTTGCTTGCTTTGCTTTCACTTTTGTGGCCTAAAAAGATGAAGGAAAACAGATCAGCAACAGTGGGAATGTGTGAGGAATCCTGGGGTGGGACAAGAGATGGGAAAGAACAGGAGGCATGGTGGTGGTGTGCAGAGCACCAGGATAGGTACCCAAGAAGGTACCTTCCAGCCAGATCCCCAAATTACTGAGGCTACTCTTAAGGGTTTTGCAAGCTAACAATATACACAAGAGACTCCTCTGTAGATAATCACTCTCTTGACTCAGTGGATTATTTGAGATCTGTGAGAGCTTTATGAACTACAATATACTGTGAAAATGTCAAGTAGTAACAGAGTCAGAACACAGAAGCAGCTGTGTTTTTATTCTACAATTCATCAAGTAACCCACAGAAATTCTTCAGCATAGAATCTGGCATAGGGTAGGTGCTCAATATATTTTATTCTTTTTCCTTCAAGCTCTTTTAAATCCTTTTGATAAGAATGCAAAATTTAAATGGTAAACAAGTGAACGATCATTTATTTCTTAAGTACAAGGCATAAAAGCCTGGCCTTGAGATTTGTTACTCTTCTTACTCTACTGCCTTTCTTCAGTGTCTGTCCTTGGAATGGTTCCACAGTTAAGATAAAAACTGGACTTCAGAATATTACAGAAAAAGTGTGACGCCAGGTCAGGAAAAGTAAAAGATCTGGTCCCCAAAGATTTTAAAAACAACGTCTGCAGACATTAAAATCCTGGGCAGGCCCCATGACCTGGTCTCTTTAGTGTGTTCCTGGAATGCACCAGACACATTTGGGGAAGACCCTGGGGGAAGACAAGACTTTTTCTCTATTCTCCACTCAGCCCCTCTCCTTATCTGAAGGTGCCATATGCCAGTGAATATTCTAAGTCAATTCTCTAAATGGGCACAGAAAACCACAGGCAAAGAAAGAATATTCAATTCTCTACTATACAATACTACTAGCAGGGAGTGATTTTTCTGGACACTAAATGACAAAAGTTTTTTCCTACCTATGGGAAAGATGGTGCTCTGCATATTTATTGGCAAATAATTAATCTTCAGAAGAAAAGAGATGGTTAGATTTGAATGATTATATTTAGTAGATACTGATAACCCTAATGTAGGCCCATAATCTGGAAATCTGAATATTATTGCTTGCTAAGACCTTTCAACAGCTCCCCTCACTGTTTCAGAATAGAAAAACACTAACAAAAACTGTTAACTGCTCTCCTCTAATGTCATTGTTCTATAAAATTAACAGAATAAAATATGATCCCTCTATTGGAAAAATTCTTTTATTCTTATTTTAATTATCCTATATACAGATTTTGCATGTAATGGTTAGGAACTTTGGAGTCCTAGGTTTGAATTCCTACCCTTGCTTTATTAGCCATGTGACACTTTGCACAGTTATTTTAAAGAGTAAATGAAGTAACCCACAGAAATTCTTTAGCACAGAATCTGGCATAGGGAAGGTGCTCCATATATTTTATTCTTTTTCCCTCAAGTTCTTTTAAATCCTTTTCATAAGAAGGTAAAATTTAAACAATAAACAAATGAACAATCCTTTATTTCTTGATTACTAAAAAAATTAGAATGCACAGGGAAAATCTTGATTTACTGTCATAGCATAAATAAAGTATTAAACCAAAGAAAAAACAAACCAGTCCTTGCTTTGAAGGTCCTATAATCTAAGATTAAATCAAAGCCTTTGAACAGATGTGATGGAACCTTAAAAATAGGTACCCCTCCTGAAAAACAGTGTCAGCAATTCTTCTACTTCTACTTACCAACATCAAAGTCTCCTCTCCTTCCTATAAGTGGCAGGAAGCAATCTGAGGTAAATTCAATGAATATACCCAAGAAGTCCTATGAAAACTTGACTGGGAAGGCAAAAGGAATGAAAAGAAACAGATTACCTGACTTTGGGCCTTCTAATGTATCATGCTGAACCATCAAACCACGTGGAAAAATTACTAATATTATTGTGGTGCTAAAGTTTGAACTGAGGATCTTGTATTGCTAGTAAGCACTCTGCCATTGAGTTATATCCCCAGCCCCACAAAACCCTATCACATTAAAATATTTTTGCCAGTCAGGTGTGGTGGTGCATGCCTGTAATCCCAGCAACTCAGGAGGCTGAGGCAAGAAACATCACAAGTTTGAGGTGAGCCTCAGCAACTTGGGAGACTATCTCAAAATAAAAAATAAAAAGGGCTGGGGATACAGCTCAGTGCTAAGTGTCCTGGGTTCAATTCTCCATACCGAAATAATAAATCAATATAAATATATATATATACACATTTATTTGTCACTGAATTTTTTTCCTTCATAAAAGTAATATTTGAGTAGCAAGGGGATGAATGGCTCAAAGCTTACTACAATAGGTTTTAAGAAACAGAATAAGGTGTAGAGAAGGGGAAGACAGGACAGGACAAAAAAGAGGGTGGTACAGGAAGGTCAGTGTGGGAAGATACAAATGTCTTCTAACCTGAAATCCTGGAGATCTGTGGTCAGCAGTAAAGTTTTAAGGTAGGTATAAAATGTCATTGAGGGTAAAGGTAAACAAGAAAATGTAAGATAAAAATTTTAACAATTCAGTGTATTTCTATTAAAATGTTTCTCTATGGTTGTATACTCAGGCCTATGAAGCAATATTAAGACAGTTTTTGCCAGGTACATGGTGCGTGCTATTCTATAATTCCAGGTACCTGGAAGGCGGAGGCAGGAGGATCTCAAGTTCCAGACCAGTCTGGGCAACTTAGAAAGACCCCTACTCAAGATAAAATTGATAAAAATTTTATCAATTCTCAGTTATCCACCCCCACTACAACAAAGATAGTAGTCAGTTCTGCATGCTAAGGTAGAGGACTTGCATTTTACCTCCTGTTCTACTTTGTAAAGATCTAGTCAAGTCACATCAACTCATTTGGAAGATACGGATGATTCTCTACCTAAAGGCAGAGAACTGGATTGGCCTTTGAGAAACTGTCCAGATTTTTGATGATTATTAAGAAGGGGCTTTGAGAGGAACAAGGACATGTGGCTTGTTCATTGAGTTATATAATAATATAACACATATAATATGTTTATTCAATAGTTGAGAAGTACTAGAACCAAACACAGATTGAACCCAGGGATGCTTAAACACTGAGCCATATCCCCAGGGCTTTTTACTTTATATTTTGAGACAGGCTCTCACTAAGTTTCTTAGGGCCTTGCTAAATTGCTGAGGTGGGCTTTGAACTCGTGATCCTCTTGCCTCAGCCTCTCAAATGGCTGAGATTACAGTCGTGTGCCACCATGTCTGGTGATGCTAGACTTTTTAACCTTAAGAGATGTTAACCCAGAATCAGTTACTAACCTAAATAAAGCAGTCAATCTTTTTTCTTTTTTGGTGATACTAGGGATTTAACCCAGGGCCGTATACATACTAGTCAAATGTTCTACCAATTAGCTATACCCCCAGCAATTTTTTTAAACAAAGACTTACTTTGAGACAGGGTCTCACTAAGTTGAAGAGGTTTTGAACCTCCTTTTTCAGCCTCTGGAGTAGCTAGGATTACAAGTGTGCACCACCATCCCCAGCTTGAGGTCAATCATGAAGCCTCAGGGAAAAAGAAGGGACATCAAGCCTAACACCCACCCCGATGAGGGCAGCAGCTCTTATTTGGCAGCCAGAGCTAAACTAGATGTATTCAATTTCTGCAACAAACATGGTCAATGTCAACTACTTTTAGAGGAAACATTTAATGGGAATAATAGGATAACATATCACAAATAGAGTCTGATCTGAGGTGTTGATATGGATAACTGAGAACAAGTTAATTCAAAAGTTATTTACTATTTTTGCCTTTGCAATTAACACATCTGGCCAGGACACCCCCTGCTGCATCCAGGTGACTTCCTTCTGGTTTTCTGATACATAGAGGAGACATATAGGATGGGAGCAGTGCCTGATGAACTGGAGAAATCGGAAGAACCAGGTTTTACTGCCAACTAATTCATGACCCAAGGAGACAGAAGTCATTTTTAGTGTGGACACAGATTACTGTGTTCTACTCAGTGAGCCTGACTCTAAGAGCAAGGATGTACTCCTAGTGCCTACCATTGTGTCAATATTCTGTAGAAAAGGAGCCCAATAAATAAATTCAGAAAAAGCTGAATTTAAGTAAGCTTTTTCTATTTATTTTCCACTAACCTGGATTTAGAAGCAATGAAAATTCAGAAATTTGGGTGCCAGGGCTTCTTGGTTAAAAAAAGTTCACAGGAAGAGTTGTGGGAATCTGACATTAGCATTTATTCCAGTTTCAGGTGGCATATCAGTCAAGTCTATCCTGCTTTACTTGGTGGTAAAATATTAGTAAAGACAAACTTTGTGAAAGGGAAGAGAGTAGGGGATAGAGTTCATTCAGTTCACAAACATCTACTGAGCCTCAGTTGGCTGTGTGTCCCACACTATTTTATGTAAAAAAAGAACAGGCTCTGAGCTTGAGGAATTTAGGGGTAATTAAGAAATGGCAGGGACTTTAGCAATACTGAAACTCACAGCAAAAACCTAGAATGTGAGTGTTAATATATATATGATCAAAATAGGAATCTCCTTTCAAGAGAACTATGAAAGTTATGAAAAAAAATCAATATTTCATCTTAAATTTGGCATAAAGATAATGTAGTATTCATTTTTTTTTTAAAGTACACTTCATTTTACAAATGAGTCCAGGCCCTTGGTGCAGTGGCACGGTCTGTAATCCCAGTGACTCTGGAGGTGACAGCAACTGCACTGAGGCCAGTCTGGGCAACTACATCCTGTCTCAAAACAAAAAGATAGGATGTAGCCTGGTGCTATGGTACCCCCTGGGTTCAATCTCCAGTACTGAAAGAAAAAGAAAAAAAAAAAAAAAAAAGAACCCATATACAAGTGGTGAAATTCCCCACAAAATACCAGACTACTATTAGCTTCCAGCACAGAAGTACTAAAAAAGTCTTCTGGACCTCAAATCTCAGCAACATTTATATCACAAAGTTTTGTCAAAGGTTGTGGTTCTCAAAGTGATGAATCCACACCAATGTCATACTACTTGAGACCCTGTTAGAAATGCAAATCTCACACCCCAGCACAGACCTACTATCAGAAACTCAGTGGGTGGGCCTCAGCAATCTGTTTTTAAGAAGCCTTTCAGATGCTTTTAGTTAATAAGATAAATTTGAGGCAAAAGAAATAAATCAGAAGCCAGGCATGGTGGTGCACACCTGTAATCCCAGTGGCTCAGGAGGCTGAGATAAGAGGATCATAAGTTCAAAGCCAGCCTCAGCAAAAGCGAGGTGCTAAGCAACTCAGTGAGACCCTGTATCTAAATAAAATACAAAATAGAACTGGGGATGTGGCTCAGTGGTTGAGTGCCCCTGAGTTCAATCCATGGCAATCCCTCTCCCCGCCAAAAAAGTAAATTGGAGATACATGCAGAATGAATCCAACTTTTCCAGTGTTGGCCAAATTAAAGGAGGGTTTGTTGGTAAGAAGACAGCCAAAACAGGAAGTGTAGAGGTGTTTCATGTTTTATGTCTATGTCAAATTAACTGGGAAGATAAAACCATTATAAGCACACAACTTACCTCTTCAGTATAGTTTGTAATGTGTAAGAATCCCTCACATCATAGTAAACCTTGCCTTACCCTTGAAATAACTGTCTACTGCAAGATAGTATATATACAGAGTGCAAAATGGGGATAGCTGGAGGAGAAAGGGAGAAAACATTATGTATCCTAGGTGTCTGGTCCTAGGAGAAAATATTCCTACTCTCCCTCCAGTCCTGCTTACTAACTTATGGTAGACAGTGATAGTAGAAAGCTAATCAAGACAAATGGCCACAAACCCTAAATGCTTTGCTGTCTCACACTTACCTTACCAACAAACCTCCCATACCTATCCCACCACCTTTCTAAAGGAGCTTTCTGTATCAAGGCCAATGCAGTGGCTTGCAAGAGAAGTTGGAAGAAGAGAGACTCCACTAGCATTCCATGTGGCTTTTGAATGTAGCTACTCTGGAGAAAAGCCAGCAGCTCTAAGTCTACCCTCTAAGCAAAAGCCTTGATGTGGCACTGCTACCCTGGACCAAGGTGGTTCAAGTAGGACTAAGCCTAAGAGCTTCCTTTTGGGGAGGCCAGCACAAAGTCCAAGACAGGGTTATCAAAGTGCCTAAGAGATAAGAACATTCAATGCTGAGCTGGGTAGAGAGGGATTGGGGATGATCCCTTTCTGAGAAAAGAGCATACAAATTAAAGTTTAAAATTACTACTGCAATAGGTAAATGGTGTTGAGAAGAGATACCCAAATTGGCTGTTAAGGGCAGGAGGACAGAACCTACAAGCGGAGACAACAGCCACTAGCCTGAAGGGAAGCTCAGGGTCTGTGACAGCGGCAGCTGAAAAACCACAGATCAGATCCGCTCTAAAGCGCAGTATGATCACAGGTGATAAGATCACGGGCGAGCGTATCTGCATGTATTGGAGGAGGGGGTTGGTGGAAGGAGATGGGGCTCTCTCGGGCAGGATGCCCTGAGGAAAGAGGATTCTTGAGCAATCTGAGAGGCGGAGTAAGAAAAAGCAGCGGAAAATCTAGGGGCCCAGACCACTCCTCCCTTGGTTCCGGTGGGGAGGGAGGGCAGTTGGCGTGGAAGCAAGAGGAGGGACCGAATGCATTTCTGAAGGCCCCAGGAGGCAGAGGGCGGTGGCTGGAAAGAGAAAGAAACCTGGAGCGCCATCCACGTCTCCGAAGGTCCTGGCTTTGGCCTCAAGGAGACACTGAGGATACAACGCGTCCACCCTGCCTGGACATCGCCGCCACCTGGTCCCCAGGACCGTGCGATTTCCCCAGGCTCTGGGGGGCGGGGTCTTCGGTCCCACCCCTCTTCCCGGCCTGGCCCTGCCCTGCCCGGCTCTGCCCTACGCGGCGCGGCGCGGCTGGGCCCAGCCCCCAGCACTCACGGCTCCGGCAGCTCCGGCGGCTCCTCCCCTGCCCCGGCTTCTCCTCCACCCACTCCCGGCCGTAGCCGCGGCGCCGGATCCGAGCCGCGCGGAACCTAGCGGGTCGGAACACGTGGGGCCTTTGCGCCCGGAACCGGAAGAGGCTCTTCGCCCCGCCTCCTGGCCGCGCCGGAGCCTTTCTAGGCGGTGGGAGGTTTGGTCCTCTCTATGTGCCCGGTCTGGATTGGACCTGGGTACTCTCCTAAGTACACAAATGGGTAAAAGTTTTTCCTGGATCTTGGCTTCCGTGCCCCACCCCCTCTGAAGCAAATAAATTAACACTCGGGGCCTTCTTTTTGTATGCATACCTTCTGCAGGTGTTTCTCTTTCTTTTTTTGATCTTTTATGCTTGTTTTTGGTCTGGGTGCCTATACTTCTATGTATTTGTATTGATGTGTTTATATTTTCTTTACTTTCTCCTTTGAAGCCTGGCAGAAAAGACAGCAGCTTTGGGTTTGAATACTGGCTTTTGCATTCATCATCAGCTGCAGGGCCTCAGGCAAATGTTTCTACCTTTCTGAAATTTAGAGTTCGTCTTGTAAAATGAGCATCATGATACTGTACCTCTGAGGAGTAAGTAAGTTTTAGAGGAACTGTTTGGAACATAGTGAATGCTCAGAATAGTTATTGTTTTCTCTTTTCCTGTGAATGTTTGTCTGTTTCCCTGATTCCACTTGTTAAATTTTGTCTGGGTTGGTGACATTTCTGCCTATACCTGCCATTCTGTCTTTGCTTCTTATCTGTCTTGCATTGTAAATCACTTCTCCCGGTGTCATGTCAAAGGCCTTCTCTTTCCAACTGTGTCTTACACAGTTCATTTTGGTGGGATGCATTGCTGAAATCTGTATCATTTTGAACCAAACACATTAGTCATTTTTGGTGGAGGGAGAGTGTATTAGGGTTCTCTGAGAAGCAACTAATAGGATATATAGGTATATAAAAGGAGATTTATTATAGGAATTGATGCATGTAATTATTGGGCTCTTAAATTCTACCATCTCTGTAAACTAGAAAACGGGACACTGGTGGTGTGATTCAGCTCCAGTTTGAAGGCCTGAGAACAGGGATGGGGTGTGAGGCAAGGTACCAATGAAAGTCCAAGAATATGAAGGTGAAACACTCTGATGTCTGAGGGCAGGAGTAGATGGGTGACCCAGCTCAAGGAGAGACTGTGTAAGCTGAATGCAATAACATACACCCAGCTACTCAGGCTATATAGCCACAGAAGGTTTGAGGTTTAAGTCCAGTCTCCACAGCTTTGTAAGACCTGTCTCAAAATAAAATTTGAAAACAAGGCTGGGGATGAAGCTCAGTGGTAGAATTCCCTTGAGTTCAATCCCCAGTACAGGAAACAAAACAAACAACAAACGCAAACAAAACAAAACCGAAACAGGAAACAAAGAAGAGAAGAAAAGGAGGAGGAAGAGCAGTGAATTTGTTCTTAGCTCTTTTGTTCTATTTGTGCCCTCAATGGATTGGACAAGGGCCATCTGTGTTGGTGAGATGGATTTCTTTACTCAGTCTATTGATTCAAGTTCTAATCTCTTTCAGAAACACCCCCATCAGACACACTTACAAATAATGTTTTACCAGTTATATGGGCATCTCTTAGCCTGGTTAAATTGATTTATAAAGTTAGCCAGCACAGAAAGTAATATGTAATTTATGAAAGCCTACTGTGTGCTAGATGTTTTCTATATATATCGTATGTAATATTTTAAAATATTAATGTTAAGTGTATAAAAATACATAGATATGTTCTTTTTAAAAACATGTTAGTTTTAAAGGAAAATAATTCAGTCAGGCATGGTGGCATACACTTGAAATCCCAGCTACTCAGGAGCCTGAGGCAAGAGGATCACAAGTTCAAGGCTAGGCTTGGCAATTTTGCAAGGCCCTGTTGTAAAATAAAAATTTTAAAGGACTAGTGTGTATTGCAGTGGTAGAGTACTTTTTAGCATATTTGACTCTGGGTTAAATCCTCAGTATCGTAAAAACTAATATTGAGTGATATTTGTTAAAGCACTGCAAGGAAGACTTTAGTCAGGACAATCACAAAAGGTATAGGGACCATGGCAATCAGATTTTTTAGAGGGATAAAGAGAATGGGTTTAACTCTGAATACAGCATGGGCAAGTGGGAATTTTCTGATAGGATCAGGACGGGGTGAGTCACAGGAAAGCAGGGAGCTGAAACTCCAAACCTTGATTCTTATGTTCCTTAATTTAATGTCAGACACCAAAACCCATTCAAGAGAACTTTATTGTAAGTGAAAGTGAGGTGAAAATAAAGTAAAAGCAAAGTGAGGCTTTAGGAGAGTTCTCTCTCTCTCTCTCTCTCTCTCTCTCTCTCTCTCTCTCATGGGTCCTCTGCAAGTAGAGAATGACAAAGGAGGCAACATTGTTTCCAAATTTATTACTCTTTGATGTTTACCATGAGAACTGGGGACCACCTTCTGTACTCTTTGGAAATCAGGTATTCAACTCCTCCTTCACTTCAGGTAGTGAGAGTTTCTGGACCTTAGTTTTCCCTGTCTGGAACTGTTATGGTGGCTATTCTATTTAGGGGGGCTTCATCTACAAGTCAATCCCATGTTAACATGGGAACTGGGGTCAATAGCTGGTCAGTCGTTACCTCATTTTGTTCATGCGCTACTAAAGGAATCTTCCCTCCCAGACAAATGGAGATACCTATAGTCATAATTCCTAGCTTCACATCAATATCAATGGACCCTGTCAAGAATTAGTCCCATTACTCCTTTTATTTTGACTTATTTTTCATTCTGTTTATTTACTCCAAATTAACTAACACACTTTACTTTTTCATCCACTTTGAAAGTAGTTTAAAGAAGACCCTAACATAATTTAAAAAATGCTTGTGACCTTGCCATGTATTTCACTGCTCACTGCTAGCTACTACCTAATAAGTGAATGGAAAATTACTGAGAGGAAACTTCAGGGGTGAGGGGAATCTGGTTAAATTAAGCTGATAGGATTCTTGCTGAAGATAGGTCAGTGTCTGGATCTCCCTGGGAAATGTCAGAGGAAGAGAAAACTGATTAGATATAGAGGGTCATCTGCTATCAAAGATGGGAATTCTGGATAAACTGGCCTAGCAGATTCTTTGTTAAAACTGGAGTTTACAAGGAAGTACACACATGTGTTAACAGAATTAAGGACCTCTGCTCACCCTGGGATTGGCCAATTAAATGAGAAATGAAGTGTTGAGATAAGAAAATTGACTTTATTTGAAAAGCCAGCTAAGGGAGAAGAAAGGGGGACTTCTGTCAGTGCTGGGAGCCATTAGCCAAGTAGGTATGACAATTTCCTTGCCAGCGTACCCCATGTTGCAGTGACATTGAATGTAGGTGACCTTGCTCAAGGACCAGGGCGGATTAGGGTGTTCCCGGTTTAGGATAATTGGGTTTAGGGCGTTCCAGGTTTAAGATTATTCCTGCTAGGAATAGGGCGTATCCTGCTGCCTGAGTTCCCCTTGAGTTCTCACGGGATTCAGACAGTAATTTTGGGGAGATAGAAGCCCAGTGGAGGTGGAT